AATATTAGTTAGATGGAAATGACATGTTTTGCATATCTTTTTAATGTGGTCTTCCATATCAGCACTGAGATCGAGTATCACTCCAAGATTGCGAACAGAAGTGGACGGTTGAATAGTTTCACCCCCAACACGAACGAATTCCAATGAGGGACAGGGCCGATAACGTGAACTGAATAGAAGCAGCTCGGTTTTTTCCTCATTTAGCTTAAGACCATTGAAAATTAGTGTCCTCATTCTTTCTGACTATGTTACAAGAAACCACAGCTTCATTAGTTACAATCCACGAGGGGGTGAAAGCATTCATCCTTCAAGACCTTGGGCAGCGTCTTAGAAGGCGTTTAAGCGACTAGCGATGAAACACGATTTTGCATAGATTTTTTGTAATATTATAAGGTCTTAGCCTACAAGTGTTCATCAGAATTCGATTATAAACATTGTAAGTTTTTTCTTTTAAGTTTTTCTTAGACCACAAGTTTTTAGACTACAAGTGTTTCTTGTAATTGATTATAATATTGTAATGATTTAAGGTTTATACAGGGCCCCTCTGAACAACAGCCTCGTAGCTGAATGGGGCCACCCCGTTTTAAATAGAGTTCACTGACTTACTCTTCCTTTCGACAATTACGGGAAATTTTATTTCACTTTATTTATCTTACGCTGTAAGTTTACTTAAACTTTCTCATGCATTTGCAACCTAGTACAAATATTCTACGTTCATTTTCCTGTTAGCACTGATTCCAAACTGATTATAGAAGGATTAAAAGCGTTTCATTCGTTATCTTTTACTCTAGTATCAGATGAAATGTTGACAAGCAGTGCAAAGTACACATTTTTTGATGCTGATAGTGTAAGCACTCGGTAGCGGAGAATTCTAGCTTGTATTCACCATCTTGGCTTGAATCCTCTGTTTCCTGAGTCTGAGAAGTTACTGCGGGAGCTGACCATACAAAGGGTGCCGGCATATTGGGCAATTACGTCTGAAAGCAAAAGAAAAGAAACAGTGAGATACAGAGCCCTCGAAGCAAACTTCTCTAAAGGCGGGGAAAAAAGGAGTGATCTAGTCGCGGATGGGTTTCGTTTTGTATCTGATTGGTCGAGATGTGAGTTTTCGAGACCAATCACAGAGCGAAGTGAAGGAAAGCCAATGCTGTCCCGGTTGCTTTTGACACTCGATTAGAATTGCTCACAACCAATAAGTATTCAAAATCAGGAAAGCGCGTAAAAACGTGAATCACCAAGCCGCAATTGCTTTCAGTTTTGCACTCGATTTGTTGAGAGGCTGGCGCGATTTTTCTGCAAAACCAAAGCAATCCTGGATTAGTTTCAATACTCAACAAAAAACTGCCGTTTGATACTGTACCTCATTGCGTAACACAACGCTACTTGTTACACCCACAGAATATATGGGTTTGATGTCTACATCCCTAGAGCGCAATGGCGTTCTCATGGCACCAAGTAAGAGAAGTCTTGGTATATCAATTGACAACTGCGGAAACGGTTTCATGATGACAGCATCGCTCTTCCAAAGGACGAACGCCGTTGTCCCGTTTCATATTTGGAAACTTTATTGATGATATGTGATTATCATTGTAATTATCGTTTATCATCGTGATCATCACCACTATTTCTTAAGTTATACTCTCATTTATTAATATCCTTTAAAAACGTTATGAACAGTTGCTATAAACTATTTAAGCATTGATAAGCATACTTACACGCCATTCTGTATCATTGCAATGGCACACTCCTTGTGAACCTTGTGTGAGCATGGTAGGATTTGACAACCGCTGAAAGCGTCCTGAAATAGCGTGCAGAATTTAACGTGTCAGTAACACTTGTACCCGAAAATTTTCATCATTATCAGCTGTGTGTCCTGGGGCTTTTTTTCATCAATCAAGATCATTGCTAAAAAGCGTAAATTCCTGGCTACGTGTTTGAAGCAATTTAAAAGTATAAAATATGATCTATAATTACCTCCAAGCAGATGCAACACTCATCATGTCCTGAGTTCGGCCGACATTTGTGTTTTCCCTCCAGTCGCTTGTCCAGGCAAACATTGCACACGTCGCAGTGAAATGATCTGTCCTTGTAAATACTGAAAAACAGATTGGTTAAATTAAATCCAAACCGGCGGATTTGTCTCTTAAAACTTTTGTTTTAGCAAAGCAAAAGCTCTTGGAATGCTCTTTGCAAAGGTGAAACAGGCCAGTGTACAACGCATCGTTTCCTTCTTTCAACCTATGGTACGTCTCTTTATGACCTTTGGAAAATTGTTCAAAATCTTGTTGCGCAATGCAAAACTTCGCATTACTTCGCCCCCGGTAGCACTCGGAACAGATTTTGTTGGCCAGGCAGAGCTGGAGAAATATGGAATATGGCCTGTAGAATTATGAAATAACACTTAAAGAAATTTTTAGAGGGCCTACGAGTTACCAGTAAATAAAACAACCTTTATTGTATTCCCTCGAAACTATATCCCATTGATTTAAAGAAAACAATACATTTTAAGAAAGATTTTGGCTCCGCACATAACTTAATGCTTTCAATGTTTAGCATACGAGGTAATAAACGTGTCTATGAGTCGTAGTATATTTCAATCGAAAAACAACTTACCGGCAGATTTCACACTTCTCGCAGTGGAAAGGGTTCTTGTCAACACCTGTAAAATGCTTACATTTTGGGCAGAAATATTCTGACAATTTTACGCCACAGCGTCTGCAGGTTTGACTTTCTTCATTTATCTGAAATAAATTAGAATATCATCAGTCAGAGGGTGTTATTTTTAAAAGTGTGATTTTTTTTAAATTTCAGAATGTTTCAAAGAATTTGTTTATCCTTCTAATATTTTAATTAAACATTGCGTGCAGTAAATGCATCGTTAGTAATATCTCTGACAATTTGTGTAGAGGCACGACTTAAACAGCTGCACACTGGAGCCAAGCTCTCGTTTCAACTGAGTGACGAAAATAAACCAGCATATGACATTGCGTTCCCGTTATAGAACTGTTTGATCAATCTAAAAGATTCGCACCAACTTCCCACCCAATCAGATGCCAAATTATAACCAGTGGGGACCTGGGCATAACTGTTCTCCCGCGCTTGATGCCAATTACATGATATCACCATCTTCTCAATGGGTCGTTGTAAGTTTTTCCTTTGATCTGATTGGATTTCATGTTCTCAAGGAATTTCGTTTTTACGTCACACAAGCTAAAGGCTTTTTATTGATCTTGGTTTTCTGATAAATCTGAAGTTACATGTAATTCACCTCCATAGGATCCTAACTTCACGTCTTTTGAGATAAAATCTAGTTTTTATAACTTTGTTACTTTAAGCTTCTTCAGTACGACAAGATTCTAAGTATGCAAAAGATACTAACCTCTTCTTCTCGTCCGCAATTTCCGCACTTGACATGCGTCGCATGATGTGCCTTTTTATCATCAGTAGGGCATGTCCCCGATAAATTGTGACAGCGGTGGCACGGATAAAACACTCCGCAACATGGAAACTTGACACTACATCTCCGCTGGTAATGCTCGCACTGCCATAGTGGAGTCTCCTGAAGTGGAAGGCTCTCCTCTGTGGTCCTGTTTTCTCTTACTGTTGTATCCCTTTCTCTTCGTTCTTCCAATTCTCTTTCCATTCTCTCTCTATTTTCTCTTTCCTCTCTTTCTCTCATTTCTCTCTCTTCTCTTTCTCTCATTTCTCTCTGTTCCCTCTCCCTCCTTTCTCTCTGTTCCCTCTCCCTCCTTTCTCTCTGTTCCCTCTCCCTCCTTTCTCTCTGTTCCCTCTCCCTCCTTTCTCTCTCTTCTTGTTCTCTCCTTTCCCTTTCTTCTCTCTCTTTCCTTTCTCTTGCCTCTCTTTGCCTTTTTTCTCTTGTATCCATATGTCTTTGTGCCACCTCTCTCTGCTTTTTGGTTCGTTCTTCTCGCTCTTTAAGAATTCTATCGATTTCAGCCACTTGTTGTTCTAGAGAAACCAGTGAAGGGTCCCTAAGAGATAATGAAGCAAATGAACCCTCCTGTTGATTATTGAATAGGCCATGGCTCCTCAAGCTTTCCTCTCGTCTCTCTGCATAAACCATTTCGGATGAAGTCAAACCACTATTTGCCTGGGTATCTCTCTTTGCTTGGGTATCTTCATAGGAGGACCTGTACCTGTTGAAGTCCCCTACGCGTTCTTGTTCATAGCTGCTTAACACATCATAAGTGGAAGTAACTGAGGCTGCACTTCCTGAAGTCGTGCTTGAAGAGAATTGCCAAGTGGTAGTCGGAAAATTTGGTGCGGTAACGGCTGGATATCTCACGGCGGGCGCCAATGGTCTGACTCCAAGTGAAGGTGATGCTGTCTGAGTCTCATTTCCTGCAGAAAAGTCTTCAAAACTTGAAAAGCTCGTTTGATGTTTGATACTTGGCAAGTTTTCATTCCAGTGAAGCGAGTAAACGCCTCGGCTGAAGCCACCAGTACTGGGGAGCTGCCCCCTCATTTGTGTCACAGGCTGGTAGTTCACTGGCATTGGATCTCTGTACCGTGGACTCGCCGCCCTGAAATATACATTCTCTGGCATCAACCCGCCTCTTTCTGGAGCCGGTGAGCGGGGGAGGCTCCAAAGTGAGGAGGAGCTGCTATTACTGCTTATAGAGTGCTGAGTCCAATCGTCTGAGTGCTTATCGCTGGCTCGCATGTCATAACTTTCTACAAACGAGCTCTGTGGAAGACTCGGATCTGTTGAGTGCCGGGCGAGAAAGTTTTGATTAATACCAGTTGTCTCCAAGGATGGTATCTTCCCATCATGGTTGTTTGTTTCAAATGTGTTAAAAATCATTGGATTCTGCAGAAGTATCTTTGGTCTTGCTCCTTCACTTGTAGCTTCACCATCTCTTTCCGCTGAAAGCTCGGCATTGTTTCCAACTTCAAAGCTGTTAGTCTTTTGCAGTTCTTTAGCTTTCTTCTTGTCATTTCTGGTGTTGGAATTTCCACAAGAACTATCATTATTGCTGTTGATACTATTGCTGTTGGCTAGGAATCCATCATTGTTCTCAGCACTAGAGTTGCCCGTGTCTTCATCAATGCTGCACTGTGAGTCAAATCGCAAGCTGACGTTTAACTCTTCAGTTAGAGACTCATCAGTTTCATCTGACTCCACAAATGTTTCGTCTTCTTTTGGACGTAGAGTGGATTGAATTGTGCAACTTTTAGCAGAAACGCCATTGTTGCTGGCAAAGTTTTTTCCACCATCGTAACTATTGCTCCCCTTATGATTATTAAGATATTCAATTTCACAGTTTTCACCACAGTTCTCATCATTGTCATCGTCATTAACTCCGTCATCATCTTTGTTCTCACTGCTTTCTTCGCTATTTCTAATGACATCATAATCATAATCAATATCATCGTCACCACCACCACAATTGTCATCGTCATTAGAACTACTCGTGTAATTATTGGCTGCTTCATCTCCCTGTTTGTCTTCGTCTTTAGAGTTACTGTCTTGGCTAACGATGTCTTGGTGATGTGCATACCCGTTAAGACGAGGATGGACTCTCATGCCGTCCTCCCCTCTACTACGATGATCCAATGGTATTTTCGAGTATTTCGAGCTCAGTCGGGGGCTAGACTGGATCGGTTCTTCGGGAATATGTTCCATGGTGTTTTGCTGATCCGTGGCTGCCACAGCTACTGAGATAAAAAAATTTTGTTAGCTCAGGCCTTCGAACATAATTTTCATCGCTAGGAATATATACAAACAATCAAAGTAAAATAAATCAAATGACGAAACGTTCAATCAAAAGCAGGAGCGAGGCTGGGGCATTATACTTTTGGTTCAATAGGAAGGTCGAGATAACAGGCGGGGGGGGGGGGGAGGCGTGACATAAAGGAAGGGATTAAGGGGTTAAGTAACGAGTGAAATGGCTCAAGATACTGGGGGAAAGGAGATATCCGGGTTGTATGGCCAAGGGAGAAAAAAGCTGCAGGACTTTTTATATAAAAGGGGATGAATTAATGATCAAGATCGAAAGGAAAAGTGACTGAAAAGACTCTTACCAAAGCTCTTTTCATGTCTCTCTTTCTGTAGCTCTCCAGTAAGCCGGTAATTTACAACTGTTAGATTTCTTTTCGCAAAGTCACGTTCATATAGAATGCGACCGTATTCTTCTTTTAACAAATGACAGTAAGTGTCTTCATTCAAGAATTTTTTCCCTTGCCATGCACATTCACTCGATGGTGAATTTCCAACCTCGCTATCCAGGGGGACAACTTCCGTTCGGTTGGTCGCCGTGTCTGGTTTTGTGTTTACTGCTCTTCTCTTTAGCTTTCAGTATCTTAAGGGATGTCACTAAAATCAATGAAAAAGAATCCCACTAAAAGAGCAGTCATTATTACTACCTGGGGGAGGAGTTGAGGAATTTGGGGGATCACGTGGTTTTCAGGGGGAATGGAGGGGGGAATCGGTCGTTGCTAACGTGGGAACTATAAAGTGGGAACTATAGAATAGAAAACTGACTGCTACTGAATTAACTGCTAATGAGGAGGGATATCTTTAGAATGTTGCAAAGCCTTATGGGGAAGATGTGGTCAGTATTATCGTGACTCAACCAAAATCCTCTCTCCCCCCCCCCTCCCAGGCGATAATAATCACTTAACCCACCATATTATTAAATTTAATCCAAGAGATTAGTTTGTAATCTCTTGTTAACTAACATTGGAAATACGTTACCAACCTTGATCGTAAAAGTTTAACTTGTAATTTCTTTCTTATTTCATTCTGAATCATAAGAGAACTTTTTCTGCGGCCACTGAAGCATTATTAGAGCAATTGAAACACACACAGCAATATAACCACACCTGACAACTACAGCAAAAACAACAACATCAATACATTAAGGGGATTAATAGAAAACTTCACAACAACGAGTAACAACATAATCATACAAGATTATCAACAAAAGCAAGTCTACAAGCTTACGTAGTTTTTTGAGTCTCATAGTTATATCGGTCTAAGATGTTTAATTAAGACTATTTTCACCCGTCTGCTCAAATACTCTACATGCAGTTGTCATATTCGTAGTTGAGGCACGGTCCAAATTCCAAAATCCAAAATTGTAGTTCGATTCGATCCATATTAACAATTCCGAAGTTGCACTGTCTCCAAGGTTACAAGGTAAACATTTGCGCAATGATAAAATTTTTAACATCACAAATTTACGAGTTTAAGTATAAATTTCATTATCTGACATAGTGAAAACATCGGTCGATCACTCGATCAAACAATGAAAATTAAAATTTTCTTCGCCATCTATTTTATTGATTAATTTTCAGTGTTATTTTTTGAAGTAACAATAACACCGTCATGAAAGTGAAGTTTAAATTTGTTATTTGGAATCCGTGACAATCTTCTCCATATTTAATTATCCTTGTTCCCTTTTAAATCCTTTTGCCTTTTTGGTTTTTCTCTACTAATGTGAAATAAAATTCGAGCTTTCCCTCAATTTTACGACTACTTCTGACAACTTAAAAACTCTCGATGTGGCTCTTCTTAGAAGACTGAGGTCAACATTTTATTTCAGACACGCTCGAATTAATCATGCAATCTTCTGAGAATCAGTCTAAATAAACAAAATTAAAGGAAACGATAGAACTTACTTTTGCTGAATAGAAACACACCTCCACCAGAATTTTCTCCGTTCGATTACCGCTTATTTATACTTATATACTTTATACTTATTTAAAGCGACAATTACGTCACCTTCCGAATTGTTTCATAAGCTTTGTTGAAGTGTTGTCATACACTATTCTTAGAGTTGCGTGGCCGCGTGGGCCGCTGATCATACGTATTGACTCAGCAATAATGCTTCAAGTGTGAATCAAACTGTGACTAACTTCATTGTGCAGACGGTTAGTTGATCTTTAAGAAAACAATGGTTACAAGAAAAGTTCACCTCTGAAACTGAGACCGTTTCAGAGCAGTGCGGTATTATGCATGCGGAAATTTTTCTGTATTTGTCGCATGACTTTTGGGAAATTTTATCAGACGTAGACTCTGACGTCGCGTAAGTCTCTAAATAGAGGAATAAAGGGGACGTTTCTAAAGGAACTGTGGTGCTGCGTCGGTGGGAGAGTATAGCAGGTAATTTAGTGTTAACAACTGGGTTGAAAACGTAAATTAGCCACCGTAAAGGGTAAAAAAGCTGACGTTTCGAGCGTTAGCCCTTTGTCAGAGGGGAAATAGAGGAAGATTGACTGGTTATCGAAGAGACGAACAGTAATGTTGACAACATATCACTTTGATTTTCAACTTCAGGGCAGTTTCGGTAGCGTCTTCGCTGAGCTAGCGACACGGAAAAAGTGCAGAAAAATCATCGACATGACTGCTCTATCCTTCATAAGTGGTGATTATGTGGGTTTTCGAAGAAAATGACGGCAGCCGAGCGAAAGCAAGCGGTGGAGGTGCTAGAAGAAAGTTCCTTTATATCGAATACCTCGCGATAAATTGCGTGACCTACAAACTCACACCTGTTGATGCATTGGAACGCAAACAAATTTGACGTACGATGATTCACCATGAAAGCGCACGAGTGTCTTAACTATACGAAGGAATTCTTTTATTACAAAACGCTTTCTTACAGATTTTTATTGCCTTTCATTTACGTAAAACGTGTGCCACTGCGATGAGTGAAGATCCGGTGCAGAACGAAGTAACTTAAAACGTAGTTACACATCTTTTTCGACTTGTCACCGGCGTGGGAAAAAATTCAGGCCAGTGGTGAATAAAGTTTATTTTCGAGAGATTTCGTCAGACGGAGACTTCCAAAAAACGTGGGATAGCTTTTGGGAAATTTACCTGAAAGACTCGACAACGAAAAATGTTGTATACGCCTCCAAAGGAAGCTTGAATGGTACACCGTGATCACAAAAATGAACTGATGTTTACATCATCACTTCGATTTTCAGAGCAGTTAAGGTAGCATCTTCGCTGAGGTAGCGTCTTCGCTAAGCTAGCGACACGGAACAAGTGCGAAAGATCATCGACATGACTGCTCTATTCTGCATGAGTGGTGATTTTGTGGGAACTTGAAGAAAATGAAGGCAGCCCAGTGCGAGCGGTAGAGCTACCTTATGTTGAATGCCTCGCGATCAGCACAACTGGGCAAATTGCGTGACTTTCATAACACATGAACCTGTTATTACGTTAGAACGTAGACAAATTTGGCGTAGGATGTTTCACCTTGACGGTGCACGACTTTTCAACGAGATATTTCAATAATCCATCAACTTTTCGACAAAAAAAGGAAATTAGGTGGCCGCTAAAAATCAGCTTATGTTGGGAAAATTAATTAAAAAGTTTTTAGTATGCACAGTATTTCCGCCTACGTGACAACTGTCATAGTCACAACAGAGAACGTCATCAGCTGTCAGCAATTTTCTTTCCCTTTTTGCTAAGAGTGCACGAAACCTACGGACAACGAATGGACTAATTTACCACGTTCGGATTTGATTTCCATACATTGCTATCTATGCGTGAATTGATTTCCGTGATTTAGAATGGAGAAATATTTGCATGATTTGAACGAGGGCTGAACTGGAATATTGACTGTAAATTATTTTGTACTGCAGCCAGACTGTTCACATGAATAATAACATCTTTTTTTACTATAATAGCGAAATGATGTAAATTAAAGATAAAACAAAAATTAGGTGTATGTAAAGCAATGTAAATGGAAGCAGTCCTTTACTTTCTAATACTTTTCTCCGAGCTGTCGAGGAAACGTAATTCAGACTACGTTTACGCGTAAGTGTATCAGTTGGATCAAAACTTTGTCACTTAAGGGTCCCTTTTGCTGGATTTAGCGAGAAAAGAATTGAAACAATTACGATCTGTCTGTAAATGTTTCTTTAAATGTTAGTGAAAGGCGTCGAGTGTACACGTCTGTGGAAAAGTGGTCAGCTGATTATTACGGTCAAACATGCCGAGCTTACAATTGAGAAGTTTCTTCTTGCTCTCGATCTGACACTTTCAAGCGCCTTCAATAGAAAGTTGTCAGGAAACTTTGTTTCCCACTGAACAGTTTTCAGTCTCTGTGTAACGCGAGCAAAGTGATCGTAATCAAACAGGTTTTTCCAACTGGCCATAACTCTTGCACTTTCCATTTTTACCATCTCACTTTTTACCGAAGTCGGTCGATGTAGGCTTCCCGTTTGAACATACAGCCGAACGTAATAATGGTAATGGGACTAAGTGGAGTCCGATTCGGTCTGTAATCATAAGAGAGATTACCCAAGTCGGACGACAGCGAAGCGTGAGTCCGGTTTGTTTATCACGAGTATGATAACAGACAGAATTGGACTGCATGAAGTCCCATTACCAATTTATCAAAACAATTACAAAATTTGAGATAGAAACTAGGCATTACTTATACGTTTTCATAAAAAAAAACTAACAGTTAACTCTGCGAAATGCAAGACAACAGCGCGTGCACATGATGCGTCCTGTCCACTTACACTGCGAACAGCCCAAGTTCTTGCTGTGAGGTGATCATCTTGCAAAATAAGAGTCATGGCGAGAGTCTGTTTAAGAATAGTTACGACCGCTCTTAAGAAGAAAAAAATATAGTCAAATTCTCAGTAAAAATACCTCGCCTTACTTCCACAGCGCATGACTTGTTGTCTGACCGCTTACTGTGTTGAAAAGAACCGATTTTAGCGAGTTTCCCATTGCTGGTTCACTACTCTTAAGGAGTAATAAACCTAGAAATTGATAACTCACTAAAATGGCCTCGTTGCAACAAAGTAAGCGGTCATAAAACAAGAAACACATTGTGAAAGTAAGGTGAAGTATTTTTATTGAGAAGTGTCTTGTATTGTTTTGATATCATGTCATATTTCCTTTGCCGAAGCAAAGTTCGGTGCGTCAAATTATCAAGTAGATTCCATGATGCTGTTCGTCAGTTCAGCAACAGATCACAGATGACGAAATTGGTTAACAATAACAAAGTAGCTTACGAGGCGCACTGAACCGAGTGTATCACTGATGTTCTTATCGCATGTTGACGTTTTCTGTGATCTATCCCTGTTCAGACTCACAGCAAAGCGAGATCTATTGGTTTTATGATAAAATTAGTAAAATGTTGTTAACGGTGAGTCAGACCGTAAGTAAAAACCAATGAAAATCATGTATGATTCGGCTCATCACGTAAAGCTGATTTTGATCCGAGTGCTTTTGGCAGTAAATTTATGCACAGTTATGTAATGCCTTACAAGATTTTGAGCAAGTAAAAACAGATAATTAAAAAACGTTACATTAAATGAATGCAGACGAGAAAACGTAGCGCACTGCAAAGTCCTGCTTTGCCCTTGCAGAAAACATCACATTAGTTTTTGGTTTTGCGAGGTTTAAAGTTTAGGAGGGAAACCAAGTTGGAATAACGTTAGTAGTGCCATGGGCCTATTGTGAGTGAATGTATTTTCAATTTTTTACTGAATTACTTTAGCGTTTACAAGGACAGATCCTTTCACTACGATGTTTGCAATGTTTGCCTGGACAAGCGAATGGAGAGAAAACACAAATGTCGGCCGAATTCAGGATATGACGAGTGTTGCATCTGCTTGGAAGTGTGGACTTGAGAGTAATTATAGCTCACATTTCATGCTTTCAAAGTGCTTCAAACACACGATTCAGTAGTGAGCAATTTTGAATCAATGTCTGTCATCGAAGTCTAAAGAGATTTGCATCGAAAAATTCAGAGCATAGTATGATCTCAATTTTCTTAAAGGGAAGTTGGTTTCACTCATCGAAAGGTTCGAAAAGTAGGAGTTGAAATTTATGTTACAGTTTGATCGAAGAAGGGACGTAAGCTAAGTATCGAATTAGCGAAGCACTGAAGCAAGCGATAGAAGAAATCGGTATAACACCGCCATTTTTTACGGTAAAGTAAACGAATCTTGCTGATTTGGGAAGTTTATTGTTCTTTTGCAGCTCCGCATGGAGAAACGCCTTGCTCGATGCGCGAGGTTTGACTGCTGTTCCCTGCCTGCAAGAGGGGCCATCAATCATTCGCCCATGACAAAATGCATGTTGCTTATTGTGAACGAACTGATGTCTACAATAATATCGTTATTGATTGGAAATGGTGATTTTATGCCTAAGAAGGGCAATTACGTTTCCTTTAGAGCTGAACATGAAATATTAACGAAAAATGGTGTGTTTCCTTGAGCTGAAGGAAGGCTTACGTCTAGTGATCTCTAGTGAGCGAAGAACGTGATGAGCAAGCAGTTTTGTTCACTCGAGCACCAAATTCTCTCTTAGCTTTTCATCTACTCCTTAGACAGCTGCGCAATTCATATGTTAAAGCTAAAATATTTGAGAAATTAACATAAATCAAGGAAATAATGCACTACGCAGCACTTTCACTTCTCCATATTATAATACGATTCACAGAGGCCCGAGCTTTTGTGAATATTCGCGTACGTGCTTTATGGAGTTTAACTTGGAAATCTTTACCCGATTGGTAAAATAGTCAATAAAGCATTTTTAGCGCAAAGACCACCACTTAAACTTATGCTTTAAAAATGGTGGACGCTTCCCTAATTTTGCTGATGTAATCAAATGTTTGGTGCAGGTTTAAAAGCAATGGAGAAGTGATGAATCGTCGCCAAAATGACACTGTCAAACACAGGTTGGACAGCTTACAGTTGGAAAGATTCGTCCTCGCTCTTCGACACTTTTCACACGCGCCGTGAAAACGATAGTATGAGAGAAAATCAATTGCCAACTCGAGCTCCGGAGAGTAGCTGTATTGAGTAAACACTTGTGGACTGACACGTACGCTTTTGTATTACGTAGTTGTCTATTTTAATCACTTCACACGTAACCTGTACTGGACTTACTAAAAGTGGACGGAGGAGCAAGAATCCTAATATGCATGTAGCTTTCAATAGGACTCGCAAATCCGAAAATTTATGGTTCAAATTTACAGAACTCAAACAATATATGTTAATAGTCCCAAATTGATCATAAATATACGTGTTCACGGAAAAATGATAAGGACTTCCGTTTGAACAATACAAGAGGGAAGAAGGTGCTCTGTCTGACGTTGTTGGTGTTGGGGCATACCCGACCGAGAGCTCAAACTGCTTGGTTTCCCTTTCCTTTCATTTTTCCCTTGGTTTCTGACGTGAAGGAAACGAGGAAAATGCAGTAATTGCTCAGCGTAACATAGGGAAAATTATCCCAGCGTCTGTTAAATTCTTGGCTAATGATGTGACAACTACTGAATCAGATAAAAGTAACTGGCTATGAGCAAGCTAATATTTTCTCTTCAATTGAGATTTTGTCGAATAGCGAGGAGTTCGATATTTTGATTATAATTACTTCAGAAATAAAGAACTACATCAAGGATTTACAATGCAGACGTCCGGGGAAACTAATTTCTATTATTTTCTCGCAAGATATGTTAACGTTCACAAGGTTACCAGGTGGACAATCACACATGGTTTAATGGTACTCTGGTTTAAAAATTTAATGAATGTAACACACACAAAAATTCGAGGAACGAAATAAATTGATGATAAGGAAAGAAGTGATCTTTAAGGAACAGATAATGTCCGTGGCCAATTATAAGAGCATATTTTCGCGCAAATTAGAAGTTAGGGTGTTCCTTATCCTTCAAATATTTTGAAACGCGCGTGAAAAAATGTTTACTAACAGCTTACTGTTTTCTGCGTGGGATATTTTCTTCTGAGCGTGCTTTGGTACGGCTTCATAAACAAACAAATATTTCCTTCTTCTGCAAAAATCATAAAACGCTCTCACTTCTTGAACTGATTTTTAAGTGAAGACTTATCGTGGTGGAAGTATCCTTGGATATCCCCCAGATTCAGCTTGTTAACGTCATGCGTTAAAACCAGTCGAGCGCGAGCAAAAATGTTTCATGGGTCATAATCGAGGATATATGCCTTGATTGATATTTCTTAATTTTCAAGCTCTACGATGAGTCGTCGATTAAAATCAATTTAAGGTGATAGATCGTTTTGTGTTTATTAAAAAGGGGAACATGAGACATGGTTTGATGCTACTCTGGTTTACAGATTTAATGAACGTAACCAAAGAAGTTACAATTCATGGACCCAACGTTTCGACACTCCTGTCTAGTGTCTTCATCAGGGGTGATCTAAACGCTGTAACAAGAGGTCCTTTTATACGATCACTAATTAGCTGCCTTTTTTCTGACGAGGTGTAAATAGGCGTCAGGAAGTAAGCCGCCATCATCACGATTTAAAAGAGCGTGGGCGGAGTTCATATGCCAAGCTTCCAAACAAAGGCGCTGGTGGTAACGCCGATTAGTGGTGATAATTTTAGACTTATCCCACCCAATTGTATGGTTAGTTAGGCATGTGTGCTCCGATAAAGCTGAATTTTCTTTTTTGCAAAAGAAAGCCGCTTTTTGATGCTCTTTCAAACGTGTACCAAACTGACGTTTGGTCTGTCCGATGTATTCGTTCTGACAGTCGTTGCAAGGAATAGAATAAATGGCGTCAGTTCGTTGTTCTTTCGTGACAGGATCCTTAGGTTTGGCAAAAATATGCCCCAAAGTCTGAAAAGGTTTTTGAGCAACTTTAACAATGTGGCTATTCAAAATACTCTCTGCGATATTCGGAAATGAAGCGGAGCGCCTCCTATCGCATTTGAATTCAGTAGAACTGTCTATCCAATTCACCCTTGAGCGTGAAAAGGATAGAAATTTGCCCTTTCTTGATTTAAATGTGTCCAGAGAGGTTCGGGGGAATTTAGAGACAAATGTCCAGCGTAAACCTACCCACACCGACAAATATCTCGCTTTCGATTCTCACCACTCTATTTGCCATAAAATGTCTGTAGCCAAAACTTTACTCAGGAGGGCTGACTGTCTACCATCTTCACTCGATTCGTAGGCTGAGGAGAGGAAATATGTTTCCAATGTCTTAAAGGCGAATGGCTGTATAAAAACTTTTCTCTGTAACTGCTAAAAACAAGTTACAACTAGAAGCAATCCTGGTGAAAGGGAACCAGCGACTAGTTTTGCTATTATTCCTTACTTTCAGGGTGTTACAGAACCCATCAAGAGAATTTTGAATAGCCACAACGTTGAAGTTGCTCAAAAACCTTTTTAGACTTTGGGGCATATTTTTACCGAACCTAAAGATTCTGTCACGAAAGAAAAACGAACCGACGCTATTTATCATTCTATTTAAGAAGGAGCAGTTTTCATCGCCTGTAATCTGTAAGCTCAGTTGAGTGACAAGAGAGTGACCTATTGGTCAATCTTACTTTAAGGTTACTTCCCACCTTCGTGGGCGTTCTTCGGAAGAAATTCGAACGTGTGCTAGTTTCAATAAAGTACTAGCAAACTGTTTCGTTCTGACACGAAATTAATGCGTGACGTTTTTATGTGACATTACGTAACAATGCCTTACGTAATTGATAAGATCGTTGAAGTCGCAGACTTGAGAGACACCAATGGGTATATAAATATTGTTCTGTGTTGATGTATATTAATCCTGGCCTTTGTTAACTATAATTCTAATCCGTTAAAAGAACTTTAATATATTAGATTTCGAATACTTTCCTGTAAGCAAGATGACTGAATAAACTGTGAAATATTTGGAACCTTGGCGATTGTTGCGACTAGCAGTACACAAACTACACATTAAAGGAAAGCATGATACTTATGGGCGGCTGTCACCACCAAAAATACAAGGATGTCAAATAGATCAACAAAAACAAAGCTGGTCTAAAGATCAGCTGCAGGATAGAATAGCTAATAAAGGAATGGCATGGCTAAATTATAGACGGTTTAGTTTTTCTTCATGAAACAGAACACCCTAAACATGAATAGTTTAGCCAAATGATAAACGGTCTAGTTGCCCATGTCGAGTTGGAACATGAAATTGTGAAATGGATTAGCTCAATTACGAATAGCCTAGCACTCATTTGCAATACAATACGCAAAAGGTGTAGCGTTGCGTCAAATGGCTAAGGGTAATGTCGAGTAGACAGCGTACGCACAAACGGTGTAGCATTGCGTAAAATGGCTCAGCGTAATGTAGAATGGTACAGTGTACACACAAATGGTGTAGCGTTGCTCCCAAAATCAAAAGCGAGATTTTAGCTCCCGAAAGGTTAGTTAGCAACTCGCGCCACGCCAGGTGATTACCGCAAACCATTGGGACAACGGGACCAAGATTTCCTGCGAAAAGGAGTGCATTGCAAACACTTTTTTTTTTAATCTCCCTCGCCGGAGCGTTGTGGGAAACGACACAGTAATGGACAAAGTCTCTAAAGGTGAAGGGAAAACATGCGTCAAAAAGGATAAAGCCGGAAAAGGTGCTGAAAACTAAGACAATAAATCGACAGACAGCTTAAGAAATACCCTTATTGCTAAAATTAATTTCTTTGGCTAGGTTTTTATGATTGAAAAATTACAATTGGTGATATTTTGTATGAAGGCTGGTACTTGCATAATAAAAGAAATACGAACTCCAAGGTGAGCGGTTGCCGCGAAAATTCCTCCACGGGTTTCGCCTATTAACGAGATTGACACCTTTTTCATAAAGTAACCTTCAATTGAAAATACATTTTTGTAAATAATTGGAATGCTTTATGAGATTTTTAATTTTTTTTTGTAAACGTCAAGTAAAATGTCTGACTTCAATTTAGTTAAATAAAAGAAAAAACCTTGTTTTCGGCTCGTGAGGGGGGAAGTAACCTTGACCATTAATCTCTCTTTGCTTTTTATCAGTTGTGAGCAGTTTTATTTTTTTGCTATTTTTCTCATCTTACAAGTGTAGTTAAAGCTTTCTGACGCATTTGCAACCTGGTACAAATATTCTACGTTCATTTTCTTGTTGGCGCTAATTCCAAATTAATTACAAAATAATCAAGGGAATTTTCTCATTATCTTTAACTCATTAGCATCAAATGAAACGCTGCGGAAACATGTTTAAGGCTGTCTTGTTAAAAAAGATAAAGATTGTTTTCATAGAAAACAAATCAATGTTTGTCGACTTCAAATTTGGCACATTAAAAATATAGATTAGTGACTACTTGAAATCTAAGCTCTAATGGCCTAACTCAGAAACTATCAGGAAAAGGAACAAGTCTATTTTAGTCTACAAATATCTTAATAATTAGTGCTCCACTATCTTTCTGATTATTTTACAAGAAACTACAGCTTCATTAGTTACAATCCTCGCAGGCGTGAAGACATTCATCCTTCAAGACCCAAACTAAGCCTCGGGCAGCGTCTTTGAAGGCTTTTAAGTGACTAGTGATGAAACACGATTTTGCATAGATTTTTACAAAGTGCTGATGTTTAAATACTTACTATCTTGTAACTTAGATCCAGTTCTATATATGTATTTATGAGTTTTTTTTTAAATATTATAAGGTCTTAGCCTACAAGAGTTTATTAGAATTCGATTATAAGTATTGTAGGTTTTTTTAAAAGTTTTTCTTAGACCACAAGTTTTTAGACTACAAGTGCTAATTGTAATTGATTATAATATTGTAATGATTTTAGGCGTATACTGAGCCCCTCAGGACAACAGCCTCGTAGCTGAATCGGCCACCCTGTTTTAAATAGAGTTCACTTACTTACTTACTCTTCCTTTCGACAGTTACGAGCAATTTTATTTCATTTTATATATCTCATGCTGAAAGTGTACTTAAACTTTCTCATGCATTTGCAACCTAGCACTGATTCCAAACTGATTACAGAAGGATTAAAAGCGTTTCATTCGTTATCTTTAACTCCAGTATCAGATGAGACGTTGACAAGCAATGCAAAGTGCACATTTCTTGATTCTGATAGTTTAAGCACTCGGTAGCGAAGAATTCTGGCCTGTATTCAAATTCTTGGCTTGAATCCTCTGTTTCCTGAGTCTGAGAAGTTACTGCTGGAGCTGACCATACAAAGGGTGCCGGCATATTGGGCAATTACGTCTGAAAGCAAAAGAAAAGAAACAGTGAGATGCAGAGCCCTCGAAGCAAACTTTTTCAAAGGCGGGGAAAAAAGGTGTGATCTAGTCGCGGATGGGTTTTGTTTTGTATCTGATTGGTCGAGATGTGAGTTTTCGAGACCGATCACAGAGCGAAGCGAAGGAAAGCCAAAGTAATCCCGGTTACTTTTGACACTCGATTTGAATTGCTCACAACCAATAGGTATTCAAAGTCAGGAAAGCGCGTAAAAACGTGAATCACCAAGACGCGATTGCTTTTAGTTTTGCACTTGATTTTTTGAGAGGCTGGCGCGATTTTTCTGCAAAACCAAAGCAATCCTGGATTAGTTTCAACACTCAATAAAAAACTGCCTTTTGATACTGTACCTCATTGCGTAACACAGCGCCATTTGTTACACCCACGGAATTTCTGGGTTTGATGTTTACATCCCTCGAGCGCAATGGCGTTTTCATTGCACCAAGTAAGAGAGGTCTTGATACATCAATTGACAACTGCGGAAACGGTTTTATGATGACAGCATCGCCCTTCTAAAGGACGAACGTCATTATCCCTTTTCATATTTGGAAACTTTATTTATGATATCTGATTATCATGATTATCATTTATCATGGTTATCATCACCACTATTACTTAGGTTATACTCTCGTTTATTAATTTCCTTTAAAACGTTATGAACAGTTGCTTTGGACTATTTAAGCATACTTACACGCCATTCTGTATCATTGCAATGGCACACTCCCTGTGAACCTTGTGAGAGCATGGTAGGATTTGACAACCGCTGAAAGCGTCCTGAAATAGCGTGCAGAATTTAACGTATCAGTAACACTCGTACCCGGAAATTTTCAGCCGAGGCGTTAATTCGGGCTGTGTCTATGGAGCGTAAATTCCCGGCTAGGTGTTTGAAGCAATTTAAAAGTATGAAACATGATCTAAAATTACCTCCAAGCAGATGCAACACTCATCATGTCCTGAGTTCGGCCGACATTTATGTTTTCCCTCCAGTCGCTTGTCCAAGCAAACATTGCACACGTCGCAGTGAAATGATCTGTCCTTGTAAATACTGAAAAAACAGTTTGTTTAAAATAAATGATAGGGCCATTACGTCACTAGCGTTATTCCGAGCCGGCGGATTGTTCCTTGCGAAGGTAAAACAGACCAGTGTGCAATGTGTCGTTTCCTTGTTTCAATCTGAGGTACGTCTCTTTATGACCTTTTGGAAATTGTTCAAAATGTTGTTGCGCAATGCAATGCTTTACATTGAACATATTTTGTTGGCCAGGCAGAGTCGCCTCACTTTCGCGTACCGAAATCTGCTTTGCCTGGAGAAATATTAAATGGCACTTAAAGAAACGTTTAGAGGGCGTACGAGTTACCAGTAATTATAACGGCCTTTGTTGTATTCCCTTGAAACTATCTCCCTTAGGTTAAAATAAAACAATACATTCTAAATAGGATTTTGACTCCGTATATAACTGGATGATTTCAATGTTTAGCATACGGGGTAATAAACGTGTCTATAAGTCGTAGTATATTCCAATCATAAAACAACTTACCGACAGATTTCACACTTGTCACAGTGGAAAGGGTTCTTGTCAACTCCTGTAAAATGCTTACACTTTGGGCAGAAATATTCTGACAATTTTACGCCACAGCGTCTGCAGGTTTGACTTCCTTCATTTACCTGACATAAATAAGAATATCATCAGTCAAAGGGTGTTACTTTAAAAAAGGTGATTTTCTTTAATTTCAGAATGTTGCAAAGAAGTTGTTTATCCCTCTACCAGTTAAACTAAACATAGCATGCAGTAAATGCGTCATAAGCAATATCTGTAGCAATTTCTGTAGAGGCGCGACTTAAACAGCTGTCCATTGGAGCTAAGTTCTCTTGTTTCAACTAAGTGACGAAAATAAACCAGCATATAACATTGGTTTCCCGTTAGAGAACTGTCTGATCAATCTTAAAGACTCGCACCAACTTCTCACCCAATCAGATGCCAAACTAAAACCAGTGGGGACTTGAGCATAACTGTTCTCTCCCGCTTCATGCTAATTGCATGAAATCACTTTCTTCTTGATGGTTCGTTGTAATTTATTCCTTGATCTGATTGGTCTTCATGTTCACAAGGAATTTGGTTTTTACGTCGCTCAAGCCGAAGGCTTTCTATTTATCTTGGTTTTCTGATAAATCTGAAGTTACATGAAACTCTCTCCCATGGGATCGTAACGTCAGGTATTTAGGGATAAAATCTTGTTTTTATAACTGTGTTACTTTAAGCTTCTTCAGTAAAAGACTCCAAGTATGTAAAAGATACTAACCTCTTCTTCCCGTCCACAATTTCCGCACTTGACATGCGTCGCATGATGTGCCTTTCTATCATCAGCAGGGCACGTCCCCGATAAGTTGTGACAGCGGTGGCACGGATAAAACACTCCGCAACATGGAAACTTGACACTACATCTCCTCTGGTAATGTTCACACTGCCATTGTGGAGTCTCCTGAAGTGGAAGGCTCTCCGCTGCGGTTCTGTTTTCTCTTACTGTTGTTTCCCTTTCTCTTCGCTCTTTCAATTCTCTTTCCATTCCCTCTCTATTTTCTCTTCCTTCCCTTTCTCTCATTTCTCTCTCTTCTCTTTCTCTCATTTCTCTCTGTTCCCTCTCCCTCCTTTCTCTCTCCTCTTGTTCTCTCCTTTCCCTTTCTTCTCTCTCTTTCCTTTCTCTCGCCTCTCTTTGCCTCCGTTCTCTTGTATCCCTATGTCTTTGTGTCGCCTCTCTCTGCCTTTTGGTTCTTTCTTCTCGCTCTTTAAGAACTCTATCGATTTCAGCCACTTGTTGTTCTAGAGAAACCAGTGAAGGGTCCCTGAGCGATACTGAAGCAAATGAACCTTCCTGTTGATAATTGAATAGGCCATGGTTCCTCGAGCTTCCTTCTCGTGTCTCTGAATGAACCATTTCTGATGCAGTCAAACCACCATTTTCTAAGCTATCTCCATAGGAGGGTCTGTAAGTGTTGAAGTCCCCTACACGTTCTTGTCCATGACTTCCTAACACATCATAAGTGGAAGTAACTGGGGCTACATTTCCTGAAGTCGTGCTTGAAGAGAATTGCCAAGTGGTGGTAGGAAAATCTGGTGTGGTAACGACTGGATATCTCACAGCGGGCGCCAATGGTCTAACTCCTAGTGAAGGTGATGCCGTCTGAGTCTCATTTCCCCCAGAAAAGTCTTCAAAACTTGAAAAGCTCGTCTGATGTTTTTTACTTGGCAGATTTTCATTCCAGTTAAACGAATCAACGCCTCGGCTGAAGCCACTGGCACCGGTGAACTGCCCCGTCATTGATGTCACAGGCTGGTAATTCACTGGCATCGGATCTCGGTACCGTGGACTCACCGCCTTGGAATATGCATTCTTTAGCATCAACCCGCTTCTATCCGGAGCCGATGAATGGGGAAGGCTCCAAAATGGGGAGGAGCTGCTATTTCTGGTTAGAGAGTGTTGAGTCCAATCGTTTGAATTCTTGTTGCTAACTGGCTTGTCATAACTTTCTGAAAACGAACTCTGTGGAAGATTCGGATCTGTTGAGTGCCGGGCGAGAAAGTTTCGATTAATACCAGTTGTCTCTAAGGATGGTATCTTCCCATTCTGGTAATGTGTGTCAAGTGCATTGAGCAGCTCTGGATTCTGTTGCACAGTCTTTGGTCTTGCTCCTTGACTTGTAGCTTCACCATCTCTTTCCGCTGAAAGCTCTGCATTGTTTCCTACTTCAGAGCTGTTAGTTTTTTTCAGGTCTTTATCTTTCTCCTTGTCACTTCTGGTGTTGAAATTTTTACAAGAACGTCCATTATTACTGCTGATACCATCGCTACTGGCTAGGCTTCCATCATTGTTTTCAGCACTAGAGTTGCCTGTGTCTTCATCAATGCTGTACTGTGAGTCAAATCGCATGTTGGCGTTTAATTCTTCAGTCAAAGACTCATTAGTTTCGGCTGACCCCACAAATGTTTCGTCTTCTTTTGGATATAGAGTGGATTGAATTGTGCAACTTTTAGCAGAAACGCCATTGTTGCTGGCAAAGTTATCTTCATCATCGTAGTTATTGCTACTTTCATGATCATTAAGATATTCAATTTCACAGTTTTCATCACAGTTCTCACCATTGTCATCGTCATTAACTCCGTCATCATCTTTGTTCTCATTGCTTTCTTCGCTATTTCTAATGACATCATAATCATCATCAATATCATCGTCACCACCACGATCGTCATCGTCATTAGAACTGCTCGTGTAATTATTGGCTGCTTCATCTCCCTGTTTGTCTTCGTCTTCAGAGTTACTGTCTTGGCTAACGATGTCTTGATGATGTGCATACCCTTTAAGACGAGGATAGACTCTCATGCCGTCCTCCCCTCTACTACGATGATCCAGGGGTATTTTCGAGTATTTCGAGTTCAGTCGGGGGCTAGACTGGATCGGTTCTTCGAGAATGTGTTCCATGGTGTTTTGCTGATCTGTGGCTGCCACAGCTACTGAGATAAAAAAATTTTGTTAGCTCAGGCCTTCGAACATAATTTTCATAAATCAAATGACGAAACGTTCAATCAAAAGCAGGAGCGAGGCTGGGCATTATACTTTTGGTTCAATAGGAAGGTCGAGATAACAGGGGGGGGGGGGGTGTGGGGAGTGACAAAAGATGAACAAATGGTCAAGATCGAAAGGAAAAACGACTGAAATGACTCTTACCAAAGTTCTTTTCATGTCTCTCTTTCTGTAGCTCTCCAATAAGACGGTAATTTGCAACTGTTAGATTTCTTTTCGCAAAATCACGTTCATATAGAATGCGACCGTATTCTTCTTTTAGTAAATGACAGTAACTGTGTTCATTCAAGAATTTTTCCCCGTGCCATGCACATTCACCCGATGATGAATGTCCAACCTCGCTATCCAGGAGAACAACTTCCGTTGGTCGCCGTGTCTGGTTTTGTATGTACGGCTCTTCTCTTTGGCTTTCAGTACTTTAAACGATGTCACTAAAATCAATGAAACAGAATCCCACTAAGAGAGCAGACATTATCATTACCTGGGGGAGTAGTTGAGAAGTTTGGGGGATCACGTGGTTTCCAGGGGGAATAGATGGAGGGGAAAAAGAAAACCGACTGCCAATTAACTGCAAATGAGGAGGGATGTCATAAAAATAGATGTTATAAAAATATTACAGAGCCTTATGGGGACGATCCGGTTAATTTTATAATGACAACCAAAATTCTCTGCCCCTTCCCTAGGTGATAATAATTACTTAAACCGTTCTATTGTTAAATTTACTCTAATAGATCAGTTTGTAATCTCTTGTTTACTAACATTGGAAATACGCTACCAACCTTGGTCGTACAAGTTTAACCTGTCATTTCTTTCTGTATTTCATTCTGAATTGTTAGAGCACTTTTGCGGGCTCTGAAGCTTAATTTGAGCAATTGAAACACACAGAGCAATATAACCACACCTGACAACAACAGCAAAAACAACAACAACAACAATACGTTAAGAGCATTATTGGAAAACTTCACAACAACGAATAATCATACAACAATATTGACGATAGCGTAACTACAGGCCTGCGCAGTTTGCAGAACTTTATTTCTAGTTGAAAGATGTGAAAGGTTTTTTATCCATCGGCTCAAATTCTTTACGATTGTCACATTCGCAGTTGAGACAAAGTCCAAATTCCTCAATCAGACGTTTAATTTGATTTAAATTTAAAATTTTAAAATTTAAAATTTTGTTATGCTGATCAATGCACAACTATGACGTATTTAAATTAGCATATCAAATCTCGAGTTAAAGTAAAAATTAAGTTATCTGATATTGTAACATCGATCGATGAATCAGTCATGAATTAAAGAGTGAAAAGATCCGCCATATATTTTATTGGTTCATTGATTTGCAGTGTCAATTCTTTTGAGGAGCACTGTCATGGTGAGTGTACGTTGAAGGATCGGCCTAAATCTAAATCTGTCTATAATAGTCTATGACAATCTTCTTCATCTTAAACTGCACTTATTTCCCTTTTGTATCCTTTTTGCCTTTTTTGGTTTTTCTCTTCCATTGCCAAATATTATTCGAACTTTTCCCTCAGATTTACGACTTCTTTTGACAACTTAAAATTCCTGTGTGGCTTTCCCTTGAAGGCTGAGGTTAACATTTTATTTCAGACATGCTCGAATAAATCATGCAATCTTCTGAGAATCAGTCTCAATAAACAAAATTAAAGGAAACGATAGAACTTACTTTTGCTGAATAGAAAGACGCTTCCGCGAGAATTTCCTCCGTTTGATTACGGCAACTCACGCTCCCCTTTTCAGATGTATTTAAAGAACCAATTGTGTCAATTTTGTTTTTTTGAAAATTTCGTCATGCACCATTACTGTCGCGTGAGCTAGCGGCATATTTTGAGATTGGCACGTACGAGTGCTAAAACAGCTGTTTAGAACAATACGACGTTATGCACAAATCTTTCTGTATTTTGTCGTATCACATTTAGGAAATGTTGTCAGTCTTACACTCTGACGTCGTTTAAGTCTCTAAAGGAAGCCTGAGTGGTCATCGGAGAGACGAACAGCAATGTCGACAAAATCGCTTTGATGATGAACTTCAGGGCAGTTTCGGAAGCGTCTTCGCTGAACTACCGACATAGAAAAAGTGCGGAAAAATCATCGACATGACTGCTCTATCCTGCTTAAGTGGTGGTTATGTGATATTCGAAGGAAATGAAGGCAGCCAAGCGAAAGCGAGCGGTTGAGGTGCTGGACGAGAGTTTCCCTATGTCGAATACCTCGCAGTAAATTACGTGACTTACAAACTAAGACCTGCTGATGTAACGTAAACAAACTTGGCGTAGGATGATTCACCATGACAGCGCACCAGTGCCTCAAAGAATTCTTTTATCTAAAAACGCTTTCTTGCAGATTTTTATCACCTTTTCATTGACATGAAACGTGTGTTACTTCGCTGAGTATAGCTCGGTGCCGATCTCAGTATCTTGATACACAGATAAAGATGTTTTTCGACTTGTCACGAGCGCTGGACAAAGAAAATATTTTAAGTCCCCTTGAGGAATCGAACCTCACACCTCCGACTCTCTACCACAAAGCCAATAAGACTCTACAGTGAGCGAGTTCTATTACGAACTATACTGCTAGGATCAGCAATGTCGATAGCGTCATGTTTGTAAACAGATTAAGGAATAGGGTAAATTTTGAGCTCGGTGAAGATTAAGCAACAGTCTTTGTGGCTAGCACGGAGTCCAAAGGTCTGTGGTTCGATTTCCCATGGGGACTCCGATGTTTTTTGTTATCTTACCCTCGTGACAAGACGAAAAACACGTTTCCCTTTTACTTCACCATGCTAAAAATTTACCATCTTTCTTATTCTGTTTACAAACTTGATACATGTTTAGAACGAGGTCATATGAAACGTAACGCTAACTAAAAGTTTAACTTGAATCTCGTTGACGTTTGCTCTATTCGTTAGATCCAACAGAGCAGGCAAGAATTTTTTAACCTCAATTAAGCCTCTGTAAACAAAACTCGTCCGTAGACTCAACAAAACGCAACCTGAAAAAGTCAGTAAAATGATGACACCGACAATTGTTCGTTTGACAGAAATATTTAGTTTCGAGTCAGCATTAAAATTGCTAATAATTTCCGTCTACGTGACGACTGTCACGCACCAAAGCGTTCCGAACATCCTTGTCAGCACAATTTGTTCCCCTTTTGCTGTTAGTGCATGAAACGTGAAAAAACGATTTCAGTCCTCAAGACTGACTACTTCACCCGAATGCATTTAATGGTCGTGATTTGATTTCCGTGATTCTAACAGTGTGAGACAAATCGAGAAATACTTGCATGATATGCACGAGGAATATTGAATACTATTATGTTCCTTTTTGAGTCAAACTGGACTGATAAAAACATACATATGAATATAAACATATTTTTTTCTGTGATGGTGAAGTAATTTAAACTTTAGGTAAAACTAAATCTAGGTATATGCAGAGCAATATGTGCGGAAGCAGTCATTATTTTTCTTACAATTCACTTCTCAAAGTTGTCGAAGAAACGTGATTCAGACCGCATGATTTACGCGTAAGTGAATCAATTGGATCAAAACTTTGTCACTTAAAAGTCCCGTCGCTGGGTTTAGCGAGAAAAGAATTGAAACATTACGATCAGTATATAAATGTTACTTTAAATGTTAGTGAAAGTCGTTGAGTGTACACGTCTGTGGAAAAGTAATGGTGTGCTAATTTTTACGGTCAAACATTGGACCGAGCTTACAGTTGGGAAGTTTCTTCCTCGCTCTCGATCTGACACTTTCAAAGCGCCTTCAAGAGAAAGATATCACAGAAACTTGGTCTCCCACTGAACAGTGTTCACTCTCTGAGTGACGCGATCAAAGTATTCGTCAACATGTTTTTCTATGCATTGCGAATGATGTCAGCCGTTAAATCGCTTAGTTCCCATGTTCCTCTCTCTTCCTTTGTCCCCAAATCCTGCCGGCTAGATCTACTGGCCAGAGGAGCATTCACTGCACAAAGTAGTTTCCTATTTTCAGTTAAAAACTTTTATTTTTGAGAGTAAAACTCTTAAATGGCTGTCCGTGGGCTAAGAGTCATTCTCTCTTAACTTGAGGGTGAAAACCCTTAAACAAGTGGAGTGAAACGATATTACTAGGGTTTCTGGCCTTGACAAAGGCTTAGTGCTTCACTTAATTAAGGCTGTTAATTAACTTTTTCAAGTATTGTTCACCAAATTTAAGAGATCTAGAGACATTTGATAAAATGTCACTTACTCAAATTTATGAGAAGAATTTCCTTGTCATTAGTAGGCTATAAACCTAAATGTAGGAAATAGCCTAGCCTAGATAGTGTCACACCCATACAATGATGTGACAATAAGCCTTTGTTAATGGATATATCCCCTAGTTAAAGGGGATACCCCCTTCTTCTAAAGACTATGCACTTTAGTCAGAGGAAGCCCTCTTGTTAAAAAAGGAATGTTTTGTTCACTGCTTGCTAACATTTTGAGAAGTTAAAATCCAAATGTTTGTGATGGTATAAAAAAAGAGGTGAATGCTTCAAAAATCTATTAATCTACAAGGAAAAATCTAAGCAAAATAAAAATTGCACACCATAGAATGAAAAACAACAATTTTACTTTTGACTAGAATGACAACAAGACTACACAGCAACAGTTTTTAAAATTTTAAAAATTCCACAACTGTCATTTCAACTTTTTGTTGGAACCAACCTCAGCAATCATAATATAAAATTGTACATCTATCATTATGAACATCAAGGGCTCTTGATTAAGCCTTACAACTATATCAAGATCAACAATAATTAAAACAGCATCAGTTAGGGTTAGTTTACACCTGGTCCAGCAACACTGATTGAATCTGGAGAACAGAGTTCAAACTTAACTTAACTTCCAGAATCACCTCAACATACTATAAT